ACGCTGCAGAGACGCCGTGAGGCACCTCACTTTGAGGTTTTACGAGCGGTCGAACTCGGTTCTCAAACCCTCACACTCAACATCGGAGACCGCATGCTCGAAGATGTGTTGGCTGAGCTTGTTTTTCGGCGACATCAACTTGGCCCTGTGCCGGAGGGTCTTTGCATGCAGTTCTGTCCTGTCCAGCCGGCACCGACTAGGGACAGGCGCGAACTTATTATTCTCCTGTTTTGCAGAACCGCCGATGGCACCTTTCCGATTGTGTGTGATGGGCGCGATGTTGGCGGCCACATTTGGGTTGCTGCACTTGATGAGAATGCTCCCTTTGAGGCTCTCACAGAGTCCGGATGCGTGCCCTTCCTTGACGGGCTGCCTTGCCCTGCCTCTCCACAGCTTTATGCAGGAGCAATGATTACTCTTAGAGCAGCGCGCTCAGATGGAAGACCCCGCATGATGCCCATCTCAGCGCGGTGGACTGTGCACCCTTTCTCTGCACTGTTGGCTTCTCCTGTTTCCTTTCCGTCAGTCGCCCCCGAAAGCATGGGCTTTCAAAATGCTGCCATCCGGGAGGCCTTTGCTACCCTTTTAGACATACGGATTGCCAGGGGCTTCGCTTTGTTTGAGGGCAGGGTAGCTATCTTCGGGCCGGGTGGAGCGCTAGTCTTTGCATCTGGCCAGGACCCCCCCACTGCTGAGCGACTAGCACATGACCTATAAGTGTCTACCTGCTGCGGTCCTTTGGGCCTGGGCAGATTTCCTTCACGCGCCTCTATTTGGCCAACTGTGCACTTTTCGTATACCGCCCTGCCTCTTTGGGCAGTGAGCTTTCTGTTTGCCTGCATAGTCTTGGAGGGGGGTATGTGCTTAGGGTTGTGCCCACCGCAGATCTTCGGACGATACAGGAGCCAATTTTTCTTTTCCATGGTATCGATAGCCCAGTTGCACAGGTCAGCGCTGCTGAAGCTACTGATGAAGCTGCTACTGGGCATGCAGGTCCTGCTCATGCTGCAGTTACCTCCGAGGGTGCCTCTGGAAGCGATGGCCCTCCGCAGGCAGCAAGCTCCTCTGCAGGTCCTGCCGGTACGTCTTTGGCGCAAACTAGCTTTGCACGCAGACAACCCAGGAGTCCATCTCCTCGCTGTCGTTTGCCTGCTGGCCTTTCTGCCTGTGACGTTGACCCCAATGAAAGCCCTAAGGATGCTTATGCAGCATTTGCATTTGGTGACCCAAGGGGGTCTGCGTCTTCGTCTGACGAAAGCCGGAGGTCTTCTGCAATGAGCTATCTGTAAAGGCAGGAGGTTCCGCAATTTCCAATGGCCGATGTTCGCATTGCGGATGTTCGGCTCATAGTTGGCAACGGCATCCCCGGCCCTGTGCCATTTACCATTTTTGATGTAGTCCGCACGGTCACCTCTGACCACTACGACCCGGGGACGGGTGTCCAAGATGCGGTTGGCAAGGCTATTGCCAATGCCCCTTTCGCTCCTGTCACTTGGCACTTTCCGGCCGTTGAGATTGCCCCATTTCCTGGTCCGCAGATTCTGCTCTGCAGGTACTTTGAGCAGCGCACCGTTATCGTGGATCTTAGGGACTGCTCCTTAGGGCTGCACGTTCTTGAGGTGGACCATGCAGTGGATCCACTCGGACTTCTGAGTCCTGAGTTGCAGCGACATCTTGGCCGGCGTGTTCGTAGCAGAGCTGTCCAGGCCACGCTCAACGGGGGGGGATGGGCCTTTGGGTTTACTAGGTGGCTCCGCAGTGGGGATGTAGTTGTCTGGCGGCCTATTCCGGCGTCCGCCGTCTTAGTGCCTCAAGGGCTAAGGGTGCCTAAGACCATTGCCCGTACGCTGCATGATGTTTACCCTCTTTTTTCAACTCTGACGCTGTCCAGCAGCGGGCGCCCCACCACCACGGTGATGCTTGAGTCATACAACCTTGCTGGAGCATTGGATGCCGCTCGTACGCGTCATATCCTCCAGCCCCACGTTCAGATGGCGGCAGGGCAGTTGGACCGCGTTGTTTGCAGTCGGGTTCAGCCGCAACCGGACGGAAAACGGCTCACCATACACTGCCTTACCTATTCGTCATCTGTCCGATCTCCGACAATTCTTCTTGATCTGAGAGCACTTGGTGGGGCCTTTGGGGCGGTTGTTGCCAATGCACTTCTGCGTCTGGATCAGGTGCTAACAGGGATTCGGTGCTATGTCAATGGGATACTTCGGGTCCACCCCACTCCTGTGTTCAATGGAGACCTGGTTGTTTTTGTGCCAGCAAAAAGTTCTCCGGCTCCCACCGTTGCCACACACACTCTGTGGCCTCTTTTCCAGGCCCTGCATTTCATTTCTGCACCCTGCCCAGTCCCACGCGCCACCCTGGCTGAGGCATTGGCTGGGCCCACTGTTGGCACTGTCGCTTGGGGTCGTCATCTACGGGACAAGGCAAGTGCCGAGACTGCAGGTGGACACTCTGAACTCCTGATTTTTACGCTGGCTGGTGTCATGTGTGCTGCTGTCTGCGACACTCCGCCTACGGCAGCACAGGTCGTGAACTCCATTGGTCCCGTTCTAGCTGATCTCCTTGGGGCTGGCACTCTTGCCGATGTTCAGCAAGCCTTTGCGGATCGTTCCGTCTTCATTTTTAGGCCGGACAGCCTTGATATCTGCCTGACTATCGCTATTCGTCAGGATTTGGGGTCACTATTAGCCATTGTGCTTTCTAGACCAGAATATCTTGAGATTGGTGGATTTTTGGCGGCTTCACACAGTGTGTCAGCTGAAGATCAAGCGCGCGTTGAGCCCGGGCCATCACCTGTCCTTTGGCCCAGGCTCCTTGGATTTTTACAATGAGCATGACGAGCCCCTTGGTGAGCCTGCCTCGGGCAGTCAGGAACCGCATGTCCATGCGCCTTTGATTCCCGGTGGCGCCCCTGATTATGGTGGGTATGATGCCCCAGGGAGCAATGAGTCTGACACTGCTGCAGACGATGAAGAGGAGGCTGATGCAGGCGCTGTTGTCGCTGCAGCTCCCTCTGACTCTGAGCCGGGCCCTGAAGAACCGACTGCCACGGACCTTGATGAGGCTGTTAGCCTCCTTGCGCCCGATGCGCCGCGGCCTGTGAATGCTTCTACCCTGCCAGATGTTGCCAGTGAGGTTGCGCTGCTTGCCGACCAATGGCACAGTTTTCTGCGACGTGATGCCATGTCCCTTCCCTGCCTTACCGCCGCCCAACGTCGTGCATGCATGGACTGGCCGGCCGAGGGTTCTGTAGCTGGCAGGCACATCTTTATTGATGGAGCGTTCTATAAAGGTAGTGACCGACATCGGGGCGGTTGGGCGGCCGTTGCCGTGATTGAATGGTCTACTCCATGGGGGCCCTGCTTTGCTTTTGAGGGTTATGCGGGAGGCCCACTCATTGAGTTCACCAAGCGGCCACTGCAGGCTGAGTACTCAAGTTATGATGCAGAAGCCGCTGCTATGCTGGTTGTCCTTACCTGGCATCTAGCTGTGCCGGAGATGCCCCATACCACGATTCACTTCGATGCCAACGCAGGCGGCTGAAGGTCTCGTTGCACCCAAAGATCCGGGCGCAGGCCTTGGGCTTGCAAGCCGGGCCCGCTGTGTTGCGCAACTTCTTGAGGCACAGGGTCGGGCACCCCAGTACTCCTGGGTTAAAGGCCATGCTGGCCTTCTCTGGAATGAGATCGCCGACAGAATCGCCTCATTGCCTGCCTGCCGACCCAGCTCAGGACAAGGTTAGGTGCCACGGGGAGCTTGGAATGTCTCTTTTGTCCTTTAATGCGCAGACACTCCAGGACAAGCGTTCTCTTGTTCTGCAACAGCTGCATGATAAGCGGACCTTGCCTTGTGGCCTCCAGGAAACTCGGTGTCACCAGGACACCCAAAACAACAGTGGCGGTTTCCTTGAGTTTGCCTCTGCTGCTTGTGCAGGGGAAGGGGGTTGCACGCTGTTTGTGTCTACTACGGTTCCCTATGTCAATCTTGGCGACCGTTCCCTTTATCTTGCTAAGCAACATTGCAGATGCGTGCATGCAGGCCCGCAGCTTTTGGCTGTTGAAATACGAGCCCCCTTCCTCCAGTGCGTTTGTGTTGTCGGACATCTGCCCCACACCGGACGACCCATTGCCGAGGTGCAAGAGTGGTGGCGAACGCTAGCGGCGCATTCGTGGTTCCGGGGAGCGGGTGCTGTGGTGATGTTCCTTGACGCTAATGCCCAAGTCGGTTCAGTTGTCTCTGAGGCCGTAGGCTCGCATGCCCAGCACTCCCTGTGCGTTCCGGCGACCTTCCACGGTGTGTGTGGCGAGTGTGCACCCTTTGCTGCAGAGCCTACTTGGACTTCTCCCCGCGGTTTTAGCAGGCGCATAGACTATGTTGTAGTCCCGCAGGAGTGGAAAACAGCCTGCAAGAGACCTAGGGTTGATGCCAATTTCGTTACATGTCATGACAGTCGACCATCGTCCGGTTTGTCTGGACGTCGGTGCACGCCTTGTTGACTCTACGCCACCCCCCCAGCGACCCTGCTTTCCAAGGCAGACCGATGGGCTTACGGCCGCATGCTTGCAAGGCATGCGCATGGCTCTCTGGGTTATGCCCCCGGTTCCGTGGGCTGCGAACGTTCACGAGCACACTGCCTACGTCTACGAGGCGGCCAGAACTGGGGCCCAGGAGGCCGGACTCCTCAGAACGGCGCGCCGTACTCGCAAGTTTGTGTCTGACAAGCTGCCGCCTTTCTCGGGGCCGTCAAGGCTTGCAAGCAAAGAGTGAGGCAGCTCGAGCGGCTCGAAAAGAAGCTTTGGCTTCGTGAGCTCTTTGAGGCCTGGCGGGGTACTGACCGAGCCATTCGGTCTCGCGAGGGCTGGAGTCTTCGTGCGGTTCATAGACAAATCGCCTTATGCGTGGCCGAGCTCAATGGACTTAGTCGTAAGCTTCGAGGCCAGCTCCGCTATGATAAGGGGGCATACGCTGCCAGAGCGCTTGCCGACATGCAGAGCTCCGCCTCTCCTTTCGCTGCCAAAGCCTTCTTCCGGGCCCTGAAATGCCTTCGTCCTGCTGGCATTTCGGACGGCTTCAAATCACACCCTTCGTCGAGGGGGAGGCCTCTTTGGCTGTGCGACAGCAGAACCACTTTGCAGCCATTGAGGCAGGGGACGTCATTGACACCGCGCCATGCCTTTGACCCTGCCCTCTTGCCCACCCTGCTCCAGCTTGAGGGCCTGTTTAGGAGCGCCAAGCAGGGCAAGGCCCCTGGTCGTGCCTTTCTGCCCATCTTCCTCAAGAGTCATTTTCGCCTCACCGAGCCTGTCCAGTTCAAGTCCACCACCCTGATTGCCCTTTTTAAAGGCAAGGGCTCTCCGGCCGTTCTGGCGAATCATAGAGCGATTGCTCTACTCGATGGGCCTGGCAAGGCGCTTCGTCGTTCGATGCGGCCTGCCTTTGTTGCTTTGCTTCCCTCACCTGACCAGCAACAGGGAGGCACTCCGGGTTCGCTCTTGGCGGGTGCTCACCATCTGGTCAGAGCGCACCAACAGCTCGCTCTGGGCCTCAAAGTGCCGGCTGTTGCCTTATTCCTGGACGTGTCCTCTGCATATTACCGCGTCCTGCGTCAAGCCTTTGGGCGTGGGCCTCTCGAAAATGATGAGGACGTGGCCAGATTGCTGGCTTTGCTTAAGGTTCCTCCTTCGGCACTGCATGCCGTTTGTGACTGGCTGGCTCACACTATTCTGTCTGGAGCTCCCGCCCACTGTACTGCCCTTATTAGGGCTTTTCTATGTGGCACGTTCTTTCAGGTGCAGGGCGCGCCCGGCATAGTTCGCACTCGTGCCGGTTCACGCCTGGGGGACTCGGTCGCAGACCTGCTTTTCTCCCTTGTCCAAGCTGATTTTCTGCGGTCTGTTCGTGAACAAACGGAGTGCCTGGCCGATACCGACCCAGTGCTTGGCAGCGTTGATGACGGGCCTTCAAGCGTTGTTCCTGTCTGGGCGGATGATGCTGCGAACCTGCTGGCGCAGAGGTCGACGCCACAACTCATCGCAGCTGCACAGCTCACACTGTCTGTCTGTGGTTCACTGCGAATATACCCGGCGGGCTATGGCCCCCAACTATGCTCCTGGCAAATCCGAAGCCCTTTTTTCCTTCCGCGGCCAGGGCGCCCCGGATGCCAGGCAAGAAGTCTACATCCGCCAAGCGGGACTGTTGCACTTTCAGGCTAGGGGAGAAGAATTTCAAGTGCACTGTGTACGCGCCTACACTCACCTGGGCGGTCGGGTTTGCGTTACTGGGCGCTTCATGGCTGACATTGCGCAGCATCACTCGTACGTTTGGGCCCAGGTTAGACCACTGGCAAGGCAAGTGCTCCGCAATCCAACCTTGCCCTTTGCCAAACGTAGGCTTATCCTGAACTCGCTGGCCTTCTCTGCCGCGTCTTGCGCTGCCGCAACGTGGGGTCCTCTTAATGGCCAAGAGTCCCGGGCGTGGCGGGTTGGTTATGTGAGGCTTGTCCGACCGCTCGGCAGGGACGATCGTCATACTGGCCAACCGTCGCTACCTGCTGAGGTTGACGTTTGCAGGGCCTTCCGTTTTGCATCCCCTGTCGCCTACCTAAGAGCTGAGCGCATCCTCCATGCTGCGCGCCTCCTGCTCACACAAGGTACAATGTGGAGTCTGCTATGTGCAGCCTTTAGGCATTTGCAGGATTCATGGCTTCACCTATTGTACGCAGACCTTGGCTGGCTGGCCAAACTGTGTCCTGACGCCCAACACCTTGTGCAGGATTTCCCGGAGGGTTTTGCAGAGTATGCGCTACACGCACCCAGCACCCTGCGCATGTATGTGCGTAAAGCCCGTTCTGCTGTGCGCTCTTGTGACCATGAGCCACTTTGGACAGCACCTGAGGGCTGTAATGATTCTCGGGGATTAGGAACACATCAGTGTGAGCACTGCCCTGCTTCCTTTGCCTCTGCCCAGCAACTTTCTGCACATCGTTTCGCCCGGCATGGTATCCGGTGCGCGGCAGCTCATTATGTTGAGCACACCACTGTCTGCAAGTCGTGTCTGACCCAGTTTGCGGAGCCGCCCCGCCTGCTCCGGCATCTTCAGCACGATTCGCCTTCATGTCTGGCTGCCCAAGAGGAGCACCTCCTTTTGGATGATGATTTAGGTGTTTGGGGACTCCCTAACCCGCCACCTGCCCCCGGTCTGCCTGCCACCAGACTGTATGGACCCCTGCTGCCCTTGAAGTCACGCAGCGTGGCAGATTTTGTTTCCTCCCTCGAGGCCGAGGCCGAGCCCGCCTTGAGTAGGGGATGGCTCTCTCCAGCTTGCCGGCTTTGGCTCGAAGCCAAGCGCAGTGGATGAGCCTTGTACAGTTGTTTCCCTTTAGTTTCGCTCTGTTTGTAGTACCAGGCGTCTTTGAGAGACTCAGACCGATGTCAAGCAAGCAAGCAAGCCCTAAAGCCTATATCCCATGGGTATGCCAGGGAGTTTCTGGTGTTTTCTAGACGCCCCCCATTTCAAGAAGTCCTACTCGACTAGAGCTCGCCCCGGTGGCTAGTGTGGCGTTTCGTAACAAGATCCAGACTGCTCAATTAGGGTATAGGGGTTATAGGGTATATAGTATTTTAGGGGTATTTGAGGGTGTATATAGGGGTTATATTAGGGTTATACAGCTCCAAAACTCAACCCTTTTACTGGGTTGCTGTTAAGGAACTTAAATTAAGTTACCATAATGGGTATATATAGTAAATAACAGGGCTTTCCCAATATAGTAACTTAATTTAACTTCCTTAACAGCAACCCCGTTTATTCTCACTGATGTTGGACTTCTCTTAGCAAGGACAGGTACATCTTCGCGTGGCGTTCTTGCGCTAGTCTCTGCTGTCACGAGCCTGATAATGATCCGGCCACGCCCTCTGCATGGCCAAACACTGTACAAGGAAGCGCGAAAGCTCTGGCTGACCCCAACCCCTATACACCTCATGACTGATTAATAACGTAGGGCCCAAATGATTACCAGTACTAGTGAAATAGCGGACAATCAGCTATAAAGATGAACATTGTCCTGCGAACCGGGTTCATTTGTATAGGGGTCTCATAGGAAATCATAGTATGCGGTACCTCAAGCAGACCTGAAAGGGATATTGTACAGTATGCAAGCCGGTCTACGACGCCATGCAGGAGTTTATCGAACTAATCATAACCCCTCTGACCCCAAGAGTTGGAACTCCTATCAGTCACACGCACGCGCCATTTGAGCCATAATCCAAGCTCCTCACAGGGGATTATAACAGGGCTTTTATATGGGACTAATCCCTGAACCCTATACCCTAGACCGCATTCTTAAGGAGGATGCTAGGAGTTTAAACTCAGTCTCAGGCTCCCAAGGGGTTTAGGGCCTAGAGCTGGCAAAGCACACAGCTTGTGTGCTGTCTTGGGCTGCTAAATCCTGTAGCGCTTTACGGTTTAGGGTTGAGGGTTGTAGGCAGAGCTTCAATGGAGTGGCGGTCTCTTTAATTCGTAGGGTGGATGGGCACGCCGTGAAAGCAGCTCCTCCAGTTGCAAACCTTTAACTGGCTCCTGAACCCCAGTGTTGACTCAGAGGTCTTTAGATTGGCCCAGTAGTCCTCAAAGAGTGTTGAGGATTGTTTGGGTATGGAGCTATTGTGGGGAGCGCCCATATCAACCTACAGGCGGATACACAGGGATCTCAGGCTGTAGGGAGCCAAAACAGAAATTTCTCTTCTCATAAATCAACCCTGTCGAATCTTTGATGGGGACCCCATAGAAACGCTGTAGAATCCTGAGTAGGAACCCCCTGGACTCCCTTAAGAATCCTTAAGCGGTAGAATCCTTATACTGTCTACCCCTAAACACCCTATGGGCCAATCTATCCTCAGAAAAAGTCGGAGGGAACAGAGAATGCTGCTGATATCCAAAATCCTGCGTAACCTGCATTTACGTAATCCATAAGGTATTGGCTACCTAGGGTCATGCAGAGTTTGCATGAGCATCACGGAGACCACCCACTCAATCAAGGGAGATCCCTCCGAGATGTTAATGTCCGAAAAAACCCGAAGGGTCCAAGTACTCAATAACCTTATCCTTCCTCAAAACGTGTACTACTTCTACCAAAACCCCAAGTACCCAAAAATTAGGTACATGGACTCTAAACCCTGTACATCCCAATCTATCCCTTCAAAGCGACCCAGTTGATCGGGTACATGGACCCTTAGGGAAAGGCGCTCTGGCTGCCACAAATACGACCGTGCAGGGTTGAAGGTGCAGATATTGGGGGTGAAAACGATAGGATTATAGGGTCTAGGGGTTTAGGGTATAGGGTTCAGGGATTCAGGGGTTTAGGGATTTTAGAGTTTGAGGCTTTAGGGCTCTAGGGCCAGGCTTCGCTCTTCAGGCCTAGGGTCTAGAGCTGCCTGACGGAACTACTCTCTTCCCGCTGCATGACAAACCCCCAGTCCACCCTACAAAACATATCCCTGTAATTTGTATATATATATATATACAGCTTATCTACAGAACATTTTGTGTTTCTCTTCATATCCATGTCATACATATATACGTATACATATATATGTATATACATATTGCGTATAAACAGGTTCGTAGACTGATATTGGTATTCTACTTCAGATCATTCATTATCATGACAAGGTACCCCAATAGTACCCCTTTCCCCTTTTTGTTTCAGCGTTTCCTCATTAAAGCCCCTTAAACTCTAAACCCTTAAACCCTAAACCCTGGAACCCTAAACCCTTACACCCTAAACCCTAAACCCTTAAACCCTAAACCCTTAAACCCTTAAGCTCTAAACCCTTAACCGCGTGGAACCTAGATGAGTTGGGGCTTTCAAAAGTTAGGTGTCCGGGATGAGCAGCCCAAGTTCCTGAAGATTTCCAAACGGGGTTTAGCGTTATTTGGGGTTTTGGGGTTTTGGGTTTAAGGTATATCTTAGGGTCTTAGGGTTTGGGGCTTAGGGTTTTAGGGTTGTAGGGTTTGTGGTTTAGGGGTAAGGATTTAGGGTTTAGCATGATGAGAGGAATTCGGTGGCCTCAACGCATAGAGTACGGACTTTATGAAGTATCATGTGATGACAATAGGGTTTCCTTTTTTTGAGGGAGGGTTCGTAATTATGGGTTCTTACAACCATTCCCCTGCACACTGACCCGTAGGTTCCTTCTTGAATGCCAAGGTTTAGGGTTTAGAGCTTAGGGTTCATTATCCTTAGATAGCCCGAATGGGGATCTCTTGGGTGCGTAATAGAGGAAGGCCCTAAACCCTAAACTAGACTTACAATTTTTGTGGCCTGCACTCGTACAGTTTAGGGTTTAGGGCTGCGACTCCCCCAGGTTAATTTGGAAGGCCAAACCGGGCCCTAAGAAGAAGAGTTGAGGGTTTAAGTTTTAAGGGTTTAGGGTTCAAGGGTTTAGGGTTTAGGGTTTAGGGGTTTAGGGTTAAGGGTCGAAGGGTTTAGGGTTTAGGGGTTTAAGGGTTTAGGCTTTAGGGCTACATGGTCTTCCATGTTTGCTTGGGAAAAGTATGCTATGGAACTTTGGTTCGTCCGTGCTTCGTTCGTGGATCGCTCAGGGTGTCACATAGGAGGTGGTGTGTTTAGCATGGCTTTGGTGAGTGCTTCTAAGGGTTGTCCGGTTGAAATGGTCATCATCAACAAAGATCAGGATGTAGATGCCAACGTAGTTTCCGACAAGTTCCCTTAAAACCCTTCGTTAGGTGGCTAGAATTAATAGAGACTATGATGTAGATGCCAACATAGTTTCCAATAAGCTCCCTTCAACAAGTCTTATATAGCAGTACTATAGCATGATCTCCCCAGAAGCCTACCCTAAACCCTGAATCCCAAACCCCTCCGTGATGGCCTTGGCGGGTTTATCTTTTCCAGGTTGTTTGTAACAAGTCAGGTGGCTGCATTTCCAAACAGTGAGCCCCACATGTAAATGCTTCGAAGGTAGAAGACGATCTTCATGAATAAGACTCCATAAGCGGGACCCCTGGTTTTGAGACCCCACTCTGTAGTTGCAGTGAGAGCTTGCGGCGTATAAACCTTAAGCCCTAAAACCTGAACCATCAACCCTAGGTACTTCGCTGTTCTTGGAGTAGGCCCATATCACTGTCATCCCAGCTTGGTCTGAGACATTCCACACCCGTAACTCCCATTGCGTACAGTTGTGCGGGTTTCACCTACGAATTGACTAAGGGGTAATTACTACAAAGCTGTAGGTGTTTGGTGTTACATGTAGAGCATGGAGATGGGCCTAGCATCATTGTGAAGTATCACTCTGGTCCTTGCATGCTTTAATGGTATGAGCTCAATGCCGAATAATGACGCGCGTGTGTGACATGCGAGTGCTGCTCATCACCCCTCTCCATGATGAAGTGCTGTTGCATGAAATAGACAAAGCAAAAGCTGCGCAGGGATGTTTGTCAATGCTTCATCATTTTGCCGCAGCCTGCTTGGATCCGCTACGAGCTTGTAACTACATTGGGTTCAGCGTGCGACAACATGTTGGAGTGGATTCCTTGGCTGTTCGTCGCTTGGCCGATTCTGGTCTTCTTGGAGCCTCCACATAAGAGGCCTCAAGGAATCCATCTTAAGATAGAGCTATGACATTTGCCCGCAAATTCCCCAAATTCCTTTGCCCCAAATTCCTTCTGGGCCTTTCGGCTTATGGCAGCCTATTCATACTTGTACGCTGGGGCCCCTCATACTGTGTTAGATGGCTTTGGAATACAGACATGGCTGTTTTGAACTACCTTGAGCCCCCAAGCATGGAGCAAGGTTCGGGGTAATTATCACCTCAGTATTATTGCTGCTGATAGCCCAACGATAACCCTATCAGGGGATCTAGGGAGTTTTTTTGCTGGGCTACAAGTACAATTATATAGAAGTTATGATTACCCTGAACCTCCAAGTACTACGTAGAGGCTCCGGGGACCTAGTAAGCCATTGTTTGATGGCGTTGGAAGGGGGCCCAACCCCA